CTGGTTAATTGTTCTAACTGTCAGGAAGTTTCTCCTTAGTTCTAAGTTGCTTCTCTCCTCGATCAATTTCCACCCGTTGCTTCTTGTCCTGCCTTCAGGCGCCTTGGAGAATAGCTTTGCGTTACAAAGCCATCCTGAATATTTCCTCTTTTATTCGTCGATGGTGCTGCTACAGAGGACCCCCAATTGCTTAAGAAAGAAACATTCCTTAAATATACAGTTGTCCTAGAAACATAGAAAATTGACAACAGTAAAAGACCTAGTGGTACATCAACGTTGCCCTTTGCAACAACGGCCCAGCCATTCTCTTTTCTTAAGAAGCCAAGATGGGGTGTGGGGGGGGTGACTCTGAAAGGAGAGCTGTTCATATTTAATTCCTCCAAAAGATGGAATTGTATTTCCCAATAAATTATGGAATGCATATGATGACACAAGCCTATTTATTAGTCTGAAGTCAAGTCTTTAAGGCAGTGTTTCTCAACCTTGACAATTTTAAGGCATGTGGACTTCAACTCCCAGAATTCCACAGCCAGCAATGCTGGCTGTGGAATTCTGGGAGTTGAAGTCCACATGCCTTAAAATTGTCAAGGTTGAGAAACACTGCTTTAAGGTTTTGTAGAGGTGAAAACATGATGAAAATGATCTGTTAAGAGTAAACAATTCTGGTGATATAATGCAGAAAGGATGTGTGGCTTCATCCCTATGCATACTACTTCTTCCTGTCCCCACTCACCTAACACAGTACTGTTATTATTTACCAATAGAGAAGAATTAAATTGTTCATTTAATCTAAAGTTAGGGATCATACCTATTTGGGAGGCATATCAGAGTTGGGAAAAGAGATATTTTATCAAGGTATTTATCTCACCCTGCACTTCTGAAATGAAGGATCTCTTTGTCTTCTTCTTATTGGTTTGAATCTAGCTTGGCACAAAAGAAGGTGGATTTCCCTGCCTGCCAATACATAGAATGATAAATTTTTGTTCATTTTCTTCTTCTAAATTTAATGGAGTTAAGGCATCTATATGTCCAGTGATATCAGGGAAACCTGAAGCTTATTCTGTGATTTTGTGTGTGTGTGTGTGTGTGTGTGTGTGTGAGAGAGAGAGAGAGAGAGAGAGAGAGAGAGAGAGAGAGAGAGAGGGAATTTTAATATAGGAATTCTAAACAATATAATTTCTAAAGGGGTGGTCATGTTAGTCTGTTGCAATACAATTAAGATATTTTCTGATTCTTATAAAGCCTAATTTTATAGGAGAGAAATAAAACCTTGATGCGTTTTGTTCAGTTGGTTTTATCATTTCCATGCCACCTCCATCCAATATTCAAAGAAATACTAGGTGACTCATAGCACAATAAAAAAACAAGTGATAGGACAATGAAGCAATAACGAATGAAACAATATTCTAAGAATTATAAAAGTATCACATTATAAAAACATATATAGGCTGTCACGTAGCGATAAGTCAGCATGGAAATCACCCTTTCCCCCCCCCCCCAAACATTTGACAAAGGACTTGATGTCAATTTGCAAGCTGCTCCATAGTGAGAGGACTATATCTAAAAAGGCCTGTTTTCAAATCCCTACCCACTGACATCCTGGGAAGGGGATATCTACTACATGCCCCTTTGGCCTGCTCCTACTTCATGAGCAGATTCTAATTACTCACTTTTTAATTAATAAATTTAGAAACCACCTGACCCCAAACCGTTTTGGGCATTTAGAGCAAAGGGTCTTGAATATAATCTGGACCTCAGTAATAACCAGCATCTTGAATTAACCCGGAAAAAAACAGGAGCCAGAGCAGTTATTAAAAGCAGCTTTCATCTGTCAGCAGGTAGGCAGAAATATTTTGCACCAGGTATATCCGGGAGCAGCTCTGTATAGACAACCTATAGTAGTCTTGGTCAGCGGTTGTCAAACATTGTCAGGATCCCTTTACATTCTTAAAAATTGTTTGAGGACTCCAACGAACATGGATTCGTGTGGGTTATATCTATCAATATCTACTGTATTGGAAATTTAAAGAGAAATGTTTAAATATTTCTTTATTTGACTTTGCAGATCCCTTGAAAAGGTGTTGGGTACCCTCAGCTGTCCCTAGACCAGTGATGGCGAACCTTTTAGAGACCGAGTGCCCAAACTGCAACCCAAAACCCACTTATTTATCACCGGGTGCCAGGTGGGCGTGGCCCACTGGATGGGCGTGGCTGTGGTGCTCATGGCAGACTGGGTGGTGTGGCCAAGGTGGGCGTGATCACCTCGATGTTGCTCGTGAGGAGGGACGCCTGTGGGGGCCGGGCAGGGTTGGGGGAGATCCAGGGGGTCTCTGGCAGGTGGGGCGGTGGGCAGGAGGCTCGTCCTGTGGGATGAGGCGAGGCAGGGCGGGGGTGCCATTGTCACAGGGCAAGGCGAGGTGGGCACTATCAACCACCGCACACAGGCCAGCGAGTGCATGGGTGCTGGGATGTATCCGGCCATGTGGGACCTCGGCGAGTTAGCGGGCGGCTGGTTGAAGAGGGACGGTAGCCATCTCCAGGGCATGGCGCGCGTGCCCACAGAGAGGGCTCTGAGTGTCGCCTCTGGCACCCGTGCCATTGGTTTGCCACCAGTGCCCTAGACCGCTCTTTGAGAACTGCTCCTTGGGATGATAAGGGCTTGAGTCACTGTTCAGTTTACTTGCTTATCTTGCAGTCTATTTTTTATGTTCCTTGTTCTAGAACAGCCATTTTAAACTTGGTGTTGTTGTGTATTGGGAATTTTTTAAAAAGTGCTGGTTTTTCTATTTTGTCATTTTTGTGTGTGTGTGTATAAATTTTTATTAAAACTTGTAAACAAGAATATAAAAACTAGCACAAACACATAAAGGAAGGAAGAAAAGAAAAGAAATCAAAGAAAAAGCAGAAAGTGCAAGAAAAGAAAAAATAGAAAATAAACAAAAATGATCTTAAGAACTCGCTTCTGATATTCTTCAGAGCAGGTACAAGCACAAACACATTTTAACCACTCTCTCCACAGTTACGTCGTGTTCTTTCTGTAATTTGGCCTGTCTATAATTGTCAAAACCATATATCACAAGCTCAATTTTTTATTCTCGTGTGAGATTTCTTGTTCTATTTTATGCAAGAGTTGTTTAAAGTGAATGCTTACATGTGCTTTTTATACAGTGCATGGAGTACGTTCTCTCTACTTACAAAAACTTACATTTAACAGAAGAGAAGCACGATTGGAGAGTAATATTAACTATACTTTATTAATTGAATTTAATTAAATTGAAATAAGTGAAATGTTATTCTCTTTCTGGACTGACCCACATCATTTAGAGGGCAATTGTGGCCTTTAGTCAAGAAAATGTATATCCTGATCTAGGTAGATTGGTTTTGCCTTGTATAATGCAATTTTTTGTTTGTTTGTTTTATACCTCTGATCTAGGAATCAATGAGAGTGCCTGCTTACATAAAGTTCCACAGTGAAAGGGAATTGCAAGTTCATATATAGTCTTTGATTAGATTAAGAAGCAAGTCCAAAAACCTTTGGGAACCATTTAGATTAAAGAGCAGCTAATCTAATTCACAGCAAATTCTCTCAATAAGACTCTTCAGCAAAATCTAATCTTATCTGATATTTAAAACAAATCGTGAGAAACAAAGAATTTCATTTTAAAAGGTAGATAGATAACTTTTATTGTCACTTTTCTCTGTACACAATGGCACACATTAAAATGAAATTCTGATGCCCTCTCTCTCTCTATCTCCTCTCTCTCTCTCTCCACACACACACACACACACACACATATATACACACACACACACACACACACACACACACATCCATTCCATACACACATACATAAATTGTATAAACATATATATATATGGTCAAGGAGCGCTTACATGCCATATCCTGGATCGAAGGAAGTGAACTTCCAATAATCTTTTCTGCCATCCTCACCGCTCTCTGCACTGCTTTCCTGTCTGAAGCAGTAATGCTTCCAAACCAAACAGCAATGCCATATGACAGGATGCTTTCAATCATCTCTCTGTAAAAAGTGATAAGGACAGGGGAAGGAAGATGTGCTCTTCTCATACGCAGAAAATGCAGGTGCTGCTGTGCCCGCTTCACCATTGTCTCACTGTTGAGCGACCAAGCAAACCTCCTTGTTAGCTGCACACCCAGAAACGTAATACTACTAACCATCTCCACAGTTGAATTATTCATACACAGAGGCGTGTGGCTGTGCCTGCCTTTTCTGAAATCAGTGATGATCTCTTTTGTTTTTCCTACATTTAGAACCACGCTGTACTTATTACCCCAGTCCACCAAACCCTCTACCTCCTCTGTATAAGCATCCTCACTGTCATCCTGAATAAGGCCCACTACTGTTATATCATCTGCATACTTCACAATAGGGTTGGTAGCAAACTTTGCACAACAGTCATGGGTCAGCAGGGTGAATAACAGTGGACTTAGCAGCCTTAAGGAGAACCTGTGCTCAAAAAAATATGAGGCCCAACTTGCACATGCTGGAAGTCTATCAGTGAGAAAATCAAGATTCCAGTTGCCCAAAGGAATATTAAAACCTAAAAGATCCAGTTTGTCTACTAAATGCTGAGGAGCGGTTGTATTAAAAGCCAAACTAAAATCAACAAACAGCATTCAGACACGAGTACTTCTTTCCTCTTAAGTGTGCCAAGCTCAGGTGTAGAACAGAGGAAATAGTGTCCTCTGTGGAGCAAATCACCTGGTAAGCAAACTGAAGGGAGTTAAATGCTGGAGGGAGGCTGGATAGATTAAAATCCTTTATCGGCCTTTCAAAACTTTTCATCACGATGGACATAAGTGCAACCGGATGATAATTAGTAGAGTAGTGAAGGAGGGGAAAGACAGATGAATCAGTAATAACTGTTTTATCACTCATTTTTCAGGTTGGTGGTGACAATTTGAAGCTCATCCGAGGGGTAGACATCAGAGGACAGGGTGCGGCCTATGCCTTTGAAGGATGCTGAAGAAAAGTAACCTGATTCTCTGGGGCCTGGTGCTTTTTGTGGCCTGGAACGCTGTGATCCTCTTCTTCCTGTGGACTCGGCCACAGTCTTTATCGGACCATAGCCGCTTAACTGAAGAGGTGATCCGACTGGCCCAGGATGCTGAGGTAGAATTGGAGCGCCAGAAGGACCTTTTACATCAGATCTACCGCTATAGTTCACTCTGGAACATACGGAAGTCGAAAAATCTCCACCTGTCAGCTGCAGTGTCGGCCCAGCCTTCCACAGCTGCGCTCTCACCCCACCACAGTCAGATATCACCTGATGCGGTTTTACCTGTGGTGGTGATTGCCTGTGACCGCAGCACAGTCCGCCGTTGTCTAGATAAACTGTTGCATTACCGTCCCTCAAAGGAGCGATTCCCCATCATTGTAAGCCAGGACTGTGGACATGAGGAAACAGCTAGAGTCATTGCCTCCTATGGAGATTCTATCATGCACATCAAGCAGCCCAATTTAAGTGATATCCCTGTGCCTCCCGACCATCGCAAGTTTCAGGGATACTACAAAATTGCTCGACACTATCGCTGGGCTTTGAGCCAGCTTTTCCGGACCTTCAAATACCAAGCCGCCATCGTAGTGGAAGATGACTTGGAAGTCGCCCCAGATTTCTTCGAATATTTTCAAGCGAGTTTCCCACTTCTACTGGCTGACCCGACTCTTTGGTGTATCTCTGCCTGGAACGATAATGGCAAGGAACAGATGGTAGACGTTGCCCATCCCGAACTTCTCTACCGTACTGATTTTTTCCCTGGTCTGGGCTGGCTTCTGCTCTCTGACTTGTGGGATGAGCTGGAACCCAAGTGGCCCAAGGCTTTCTGGGACGACTGGATGCGACAGCCTGAGCAGCGGCAGGGCCGTTCGTGCATCAGGCCTGAAGTGTCACGCACAATGACTTTTGGCCGTAAAGGCGTGAGCCACGGTCAATTCTTTGACCAATATCTGAAGTTCATCAAGCTCAATGACCGTTTTGTGCCTTTCACCCAGATGGACCTTTCTTACCTCAAGAAGAATAACTATGAACACTCATTCTTGGCCCAAGTCTACGGTGCCCCTGAGCTGCGCGTCGAAGAATTACAGGGGAACCAGCGCCGGGAGTTAGGTACTGTCCGAGTGCAGTACACCACTCGTGACTCTTTCAAGGCCTTCGCCAAAGCCTTGGGTGTTATGGATGACCTCAAATCAGGAGTGCCCCGTGCTGGTTATCAGGGCATTGTCAGCTTCCTTTACCGAGGCCGCCGTGTTTACCTGGCTCCTCCTCCTGACTGGACAGGCTATGACCCCAGCTGGAGTTAGCAGCTGAGGATTTTTGAGCATGTTGGACCCCATCGGGAAAAGGGTGCTTGGGTGGGGGTGGTGGCAAAACTCTTGTGTTTTCTTCTCCTGTGTGGCATTCAAGGTGCATTCCAGGAACGAGGATTGTTTTGTGCACTTAATTTGGGGGAGGAGTTAATGGCAGGAGGGATGGATTACGGCGGGGGGGTATTCCAAAGCCCCAACATCATAGATGAGAAGGAGCATTCTGGGTTCCCTGTTCTCTTCCCAGTGCCTGTCTTCCTTCTTGACGCTGCTGCCTGTCCACCAATTAGATCCTTGGTGGCCTGTCCAAATTGGTGCGTTTTGAGGTCAAAGTGAGTGCTAAACCAAAGCAGTGATCCGCTGAAGCTTTCCCAGTTTCGTTGAGATAACAGCAGGCCAGAGCAACTTGTGATCTTATGAGGCAGATGTAGCTCCTCAATCAAGTTAGTGTGTTTGGCCACACAGACTTTTCATACATATCTTTAAATTCTAGCCAAGCAAAATGGGGAGACTCGTTAAGCTCCCGAGAAACTACGATTCAAAACCAGGCACACTGCATTCAACTCGTTAGGTCGCAGGTAAGCTGTAGGGAGAAAATAAAAATTTGTTTTTTTTCTTCTCAGCTCTTGGCTGCTGCTTCACGTCTCACCTGGGGCATCTGTAAGGTTTGGAAAGCAGGAAGCTCTTTCAGGTGATCATTGAACCCCCCTCAGAAGGACCATCTTTATTGACCATATTGGCCATTTTTATGTTGATCTCTTAGATATCCTAATTCTTTAACCCTATTGAATGGGACAACGGAGATACAATGTGTGCACAATGACAAACTTAAGATGATTGTCACTCAGATGAGATGGAAAGGAAGGTCAGGGCCTCTTTTTTTTGCTTTTTTTACTTGGGCACGAGGACAGAGTAGTCGGAGCGCATGAACGCGGGCTGCTACCTTTTTTTTATAGCTCCCTGCCAGGACCTGTTAACTTTAGCTTAAATAAAGTTTTGGATGGAGGTGGGCATTTTCTTCTCATCCTCTAACCTGGTTCTATGAGATACATGAAGGTCTGGCTTTGCGGCCTTCTAGCCACTGCCTGCTGTCAAGTGGTCCTTTCTGTAAGCCCCAGTGGAAGATGATGGGCTGCAGGTGGGCCATTAAGCTTGAAAACGGCTCTGGGGGAGGAAGGCCCAAGGCTAGCCCTTCATGACGCAGGAGGGGACATCCAGGCATTTCAGCCTCCACTCGTCGTCTGAAACGATGGAGACTTCCAATATATCTATTGACTGTATATTCAAAGGAAGCCGACCGATGTCTCGATGTGGCTGCCATGTTCTCTTCCCAGGTTCATGAGGAGGAACTTGCCCAAGGCTGCCTTAATTTCCACGGTGTAGGAAATTCCATCCAGATCTACGGCAGAATGTGCTGGTGGCTCGGTTGCGTTTTTTTATTTTTAATTGCTGGGTTTTTTTGTTTTTTCCTGAACGGCCATATTGGAACTGGTCACTGCTACGTATCTGGATCACTGTGGGCGCTAAGTAGAGTGGAGGGAGGAGACTTCTTGAGGCATCGGAGCATCTCACGAAAGGACACCTCCAACCCAAAGGAGTCCAGCCTTATTCAGTGGGGCAGAGTCCGCCTTCCCCGTTCTTGCCTTTGGGAGTTGCCACCGGGCTGCTCCAGATGGCGCTTTAGGAGGCAGGCACGAGGAAGCGACTTCGCACCTCCTTCGGCCAAAATTTAGACCACACCAAAGGGTATATTGCGTTATTTGAATGCTTGTTACTTTTTTCTTTCTTTTTTTTAAAAAAAACACACGCATAAGACCATCTCCATGAGGAATGGAGGAAGGAAGGTTGTGTTTTGGCATTCCGCTTCAGTGAGGAGAGGTGTTTTTTTTCCCCCCTTCGTATATCTGCTCTTCTAGTTGGTGCAAGGGGGGGGCAGGTAGGAGATGGTGCCTTGGGGAGACTGCTTTGAATGGCTGGATGCATCTGCTTACGTCCTGAGGTGTTTTTTTTTTCTTTTGAAAAAAAAAAAGAAACTAATGCTGCAGAGAATGAGGCTCTCTTTTAAAAAAAAAAATTAAAAAATGACCTACTGTGACCTGCATCTGGAATGTTGATAATTTGGGCCTGTTCGTACCTTGATTTTTCACTTTTAATTCTCTGCGAAGAGACTATACTGCTTGACGGTTTTCTAGGTCAGGCTTCCATTTGAAAAGAAAGCAAAGTAGGGCAGACCTGTGTATAGAACATGAGTGGAAAAGTCTCCATGGGGAGCAAAGGTCTTTTCGGCATGATTTCACTCACCTTTAACAATTTCCTGAATAGACATGCGGAAATGATCACTTTGAGTCCAATGTGGTCCCCTTCAGAACCATTGTACTCCATTTTATCTGGATGGGGAGAGGGTGTAATGGAAAATTGGATTATTATTTTTTTGGCAGGTGATTTTAATCCCAACTTTCAAGATTTGCTGGATCCTGGGTAAAAAAAATTGCCCTTTTTAAAACTAGAAACAGCAAGAGAGCTGTTCTTACCTTTAGTATTATGTTCTGGGACTCAGCCTCGATGTCTCGGTTTGCAAGTATGTTGCCATCTCCTTTCAGTAGAAGGCAGCTACTGAACTTATGGAGGAAGGGAAGGGAAAATGGAAATCTCTTTTGGGGTTCCCTCCTCCTTTCACTTCTGTCCTCTGGTGCTCAGTCAGCCAATCAATCAATCAATCAGGGAAATGAAAATAGGAGGACAGAGATAAATCCTTTTTTTCCCCCTTGAATCCTCAGTTCTGTGTAACTTAATCCACACCGTCTATAGCCCAAACTCTCTCCTTTGGCCTCCTGCCCTTATTAGTGTTTTGTCCTAGGTTACAGTGAAATGATCATGTTTCCCAGTCCAGTCTGTGATTTTGGGGAAACAATTGGGAGAAGCTCAGCGGAGATCCCAGCAGAAAGGAAAACCCACCAGCAGCCACAATTCTTCTCCCTTTCTGTTCCTGAAAAAATATCACTGCTGAAAATTCCAGCTGAAAAATAAGTTGTCACTACATCTGGGTGTTTGAATCAAGGTTGTCTGACGGAGAGACGCTAATTTTATGTTCACTAATTGGTGAGAAGAGCTGAAAGAAGCAAACATGAAAAAAAAAGTTATTTTCCACAATAAAATAAAAGCCGTTCCTTTTCAGACAGCCTGTGTAATTAATTGACCTCGTGCAGCAATTTATTGCGTTCACAATGCTTTCAGTGAAATTTGACAAAGGGGAAGGGGGCACAACGTCGTCTCTTTAGAGGCCTCGACCCCCATTGGTTACCCTCCGCTTGAACCAGGAATCACTCCTGGCATCGAAAGTGGCATTGGGTCTTTCTAGGAACATCGAATATATATTTACATCAAATGGGATCAAGACCCTTCTTCTCTCTGTTGTTCCAGAGTGCAGGATATGGGATAATGGGTTTAAGTTACAGGAAGACAAATTCCAATTGTTTTTCACTGTAATGTTTTTTCAAGCATTTTGATAGGGCTAACTAGTCAAAGAAGCAGTGGACAATCATCTCTTGAGGATGCTTTAGAGAGTGGTGGTGAACCTATGGCACGCGTGCCAGAGGCGGCACTCGGAGCCCTCTCTGTGGGCACACACACCGTCCCAGCCCCGCCTCCTCCCACGGCCTCCTCACCAGCAACCCCCCTGGAGTAGAGTCGCCCCCGGGCGTGGCCCGCGCGAAGCAGCACAGCCAAGGACATGGTAGCCAGACAGCGGGGACAAGACTCCGCCCTTGCGCCCCATCGCACGCAGATGATGATGCGGGGCACGGATGGAGGGTGTGGCCACCATGGTGCTGCTGGACTGCCTGGGTGATCTTTGGCGGGCCATGGAGGGGGTGGGTGGCCTAGCGGGCAGGGCAGAGCAGGGACGGGGTGGTGGTTTGGGGGCACTCGGTCTCTAAAAGTTTCGCCATCACTGCTTTAGAGTTTGGGTTGCACTGAGCAGAGGGCTAGACTCAATGGTCCAAGTGTTCTAATTCTTCGATTCCACCTCCAGGTTTATGAAGATAGGTCAGGAGGAATCAGGGGAATTCTGGGAGCTGAAGTCCACACATCTTAAAGTTGCTGAGGTTGAGAGACTCTGCCCTACAGCAACAAGGAGTGTTCGGTCATGGAAATCTCAGGACCATCACTTTTCCCTGCTGATATTTCCCCAACACTTTTCAAAAGCAATCAACCCTCCCCCCCTTTCTCTCTTTCCAATCCCTGCTTCCTACCTTGCTATCCTGTATTTATGCAAAGCCCTATATTACTATTAGCATTATTATGTAATCCAGCTGTCAAAGCTCCAGGAAGCTTCCTTGCATTTCAGTAGTGATGTGTTTGAACAAAATATATGGAAGGACGCATTAGCACACCAATGATTTCTTCTTTTCTGGGCAGCTGCTGTTGCTTTGTTAAGCAAAAAAAAAGAGATATCTTCTATCTCAAAACCGCTTAGATTTCCTCCAACCTCTTAATTGGTGGGGATATGCAGTTTGCTGCCTTCGCAAATTGAAAAATTATTGCTTTCTGAAATTCCCAAATTTTAAGCTGCTCAGGTTCTAGGCACTTTTTTTAATTAGCATTTATTTAGAACGAATGTCGCTATTTATTTTGGTATTGCAAATGCAACACAATTGGTTAGCTTTTTGTGGGATTATTTCTTGATTATTCAATTTCAAATGGAACAATCCAGATGCTGCATTTGTTTGGCTTCTGATATTTTTTCTCCAGATGTTTTTTTTTTTTTAATTATTTGCAGAACCCTGTGGAGCAGCAGCAACTGGTAAAAGGATACTAGTGCAAGCTACTAGTGGAGGATTGCCATACTTTCTTTCTTACTGATTTTTCAGGAAAAATACCACTGTGGCACTGCTTTCAAGGCTCTCAGAAAGTGCCTTAGCCTTATATAAATACGGATGTGGGCATTGCGTATTAAAAAATTGGCAATAGGCTAATATACTCTGAAAAGAACATCCGAAGGACGAGTAGTTGTGCAAT